ATTTATAACAGCAGCAAAATTACAGTTATGAAGTAGCAACGAAAATAATTTTATGGTTGGGGGTCCCCACAACGTGAGGAACTATATCAAAGGGTAGCGGCATTAGGAAGGTTGAGAACCACTGTTAAGCAATCTTGACTCAGAAGAGAGGCAAATGTCGGGTCCATGCACAGTGAATGGGGGGACTCTGGGGATGCTGGGACACAGGCTGAATGGAGGCTCAGCTCTGACCCCACCCCCCACACTCTAAATACCATCATCTGTACTCTGAAATCCCGCCAGCATCACCCCCTTCTCCATCCCCGCAGGCTGGGCCCAGAGGACCCCTTCTCCCTCCTGGTGCCTGGCCTTCGCCTGGGCCCTGCGTCCTGGCTCTGCCGTCCACCTGCCCACTCTCTCTCTGTAATCCCTGGGGCATGGTCAGGTCATTCCTCCTGAAGCCCCTTCAGGGACTCCCCTGGCTGCTGCCTGGGTCTTGCAGGGCCCTAAAGGACAGTGTCCAGCTCCATCACAGCATTTACTGTGGTGACATGACCATCTGTTTTCTTCCTCATCTCCCCCTCAATGCCAGGGACCAGCAGACATTTTTTGGGAAGGACCAGCTGGTAAAGACTTCAGGCCTCGTGGGCCATCCAGGCTTCCTTGCAATGCCTCAGCTCTGCCTTTGTAGCACAAACGTATCCAAAGACAATATGCCAGTGAACAAGCATGGCCGAGTCTCCATGCCACTTGGTTTACTGAGACAGGGCTGTCACTGCCCAGGGTGCCTGGGTCTCCAATCCTCTCCGTCACTCCTCCCATGGAGGAACAAGGCCTGCTGTCTTGAGTCACTCTGCCACCTGGAGGCAGCCTTGAGGATTGCAGCCTTACTCCACCAGCCACACCTGAGCACGTCCTGACCTGGCCCCACCCCACCCCTCCAAAGCCCTCCTGCCACCCAAAGAGCTCTGAGCAGCTCTGTTTTGCGAGGACACCTGATGCCATCTGGGACGCCCTCTTTCCACAACTGGCTGGGTCCTGCCCCTTCACTTTCCTCCGGTCTCCACTCAGCCAGGTCTTCCCTAACATCTGCCCTAGAGGAGTCCGTCCTCCTCTCTGCACCAGCCTTCTTCCTTTCTCCACAGCACTGTCTCCACCAGGTGTGTCCCCCACTAGAGCCGGCTTTCTGGGGGCATGCCGCTTTGTCCCTGAACTTCCCCATGGCTAGAACGGCACCGGTATGTGAAAGACTCAGCAAACATCTGATGAATGAATGAATGAACAACACCAAATACACACCACTCCGTGATGAATGAGGGAGAGGAAGGAAGGGATGGGAGGGGAGGGGCGGCTTCAGGCGCCGACTCCTGTGTGTGCCCCCAAGTGTGGACAGTGCCTGACCCTGTGGAGTCCATAGGAACACCAGCACCCCAGGAGGTCCAGGACCCAGGTGAGGCAGCCGTGGTGTCAGGAAGACGAAAACCAGGCAGCTGGGGACCCTGGGAGTCTCACACATTCCAGAGTTCAGAAAATCAGTGTGGATTCCACCTCTGAGGTCCACAAGAAACCAGCAAAAGCAGCGGGGATGGGTCCTGAGCACCTCTGCAGAACAAGGTAGGCTTCTGGTTTGTAGGAAACTCAGAGGCGCCAGCACCTAGGGAGAGAAGGACATGGACTTCAGGGGGTCAGTCTTTAGGAGAAGGATGATGGGGCTGTCCCAGAGCCCAGAGACTGGGCATGCCTGGACCACCAGCTTGGTTCCCAGACGGCCACTCTAGGAAGCTATTTCATGCTGGGATGTGTTCTGGGATTGTGAGGCTGAAAACAGGAGAGGTGACTGCGGGAACTAGGACATGCAGCTTGAGATGTCACGGCTCCCTGACACCAGAGCGCGGCCTTCAAGCCTGCACACCACAGTCAGGGTGGCCTGGGAGCAGCAGCTGGGGAGGATGTGCGAGGCTGCAGGGGGTTGATGAAGGGATGGAGCTCGGTGCACGGCTTGGTTCTCTTGGTCAAAGCTGAGCTGCCTGTAAGTGGTGAGTTCTCTGTCACTTGTGGCATTCAAGGTGGACAACTAGTTGCTAGGGTTGATGTAGACAGCTTCAAGAGGGTTCAGTCCCAATCCAGGAAGGGCTTTGGGGGTGGGACAGAGAATTGATAACCTCAAGGGTCCTGAGGATCCTTTCCAATGCAGAGGTCTTGGGGCTCAGCTTACTTGGGGGCGTTTATCTCCCGAGTGTCCACTCCACGCCTTGACGCCATCCATGTCCTGAAGCTCCTCACCTTACAGGTGAGGGGCCTGGGACTTAGAGGCTCATGTGCTTGGGACTAAGCCTCAATCCGCAGCCTGCCTGATTCCTGACCTGACCCTGTCACCCATGACAGCTAACCAGGGAGACTCAGGACAGGGGAGCCCAGCCTTGCCCAGAGGCCTGGCTCTGCTCTTGGACTCTGGGAGGGGTCTGCCCTTCCTCTTCCAATCTGTGCCTGGCAGCTGCCCACATAGCCCTGGGTGATCTGGGGACAGCAATCTGACAGGATGTTCTGCAGGGAGGGGCAACCCGTCCACACTCACAGGCAAAGAGCCATAAGCCAGGAACTAAAGATAGAAGATGCCAATATTGGGCTGGTGCTGACGCACAAAAGCAAGGGCTCAGAATTAAACGGGCACTTTGCATCACAGAGCGACACTGCCTAGGGAAGCTATGCCGGGCCCGGGGTACCAAGAGGCTTTGCTCCAAGAGTTTATTGCTCAAGACAATGAATAATACATGAGTCTGTTTCGTCTCAGAGAGGATGACTCAGGAATCACACTGAGGGCTTCAGTCTAATCCCATCCATATTCGGATATGACCCTCCTATACTTTGAAGCTTGGGCCTAGTGGCCAGGTAGCCACTATTTCTTAAAGTTTGGGTCTTTTGGGGAAATGCTTCTCCAAATGTAGTGTGGACCTTTGCTGGTCTGCAAATTGCATGCATTTTATATGCTTATGTTTTACTTCATTTTTCAAGTATAATGGAACTTCTGTAAATCGACCACCCAAGGGACCGTAACAAACTGGTCAACATATGGACGTGGCCAACATAAGGAACTAGACCTTCTGTACTGATCTGTGCAGGTGGTGCATGTCCAGTCGATGCAAATGAGGTCCACTTAAGGAGGTGGTCAATGTAGGGAGGTGGTCAACTATGGAGGTTCTACTCTGTGTATATTTTTGACTTTTACAATCACCAAAGATACAAAAAACAATATATAAGATAAATGTTATCGGCATATATTATTTATTACAATTTTAATACAGTTTTTTCTTTTCTTAAAATGCGTATACATCTTTTTGGCACCCTCTGTATACATAAAGAGATTTGTCATAAAGACGTAGCCTACCTGATCATAAAGCCTGGTGAGTCCTCGCTTGCGTTAGAGGCTGGCAGGCTCGACACCCAGGGAGGTCAATGGTGCAGGTGAAGTTCGTTCAAAGCCAGTCTGCTGGAGAAATTCCCTCGTGCGTGGGGAGGCTGGTCTTTTTATTCTCTTCAAGCCTTCCACCGATTATATGAGGCCCACCACATGCGGAAGTCAATCCACTTATTCGAAGTTCATTCATTTAAATGTTAACCTCATTTAAAGAAACCCCTCAAATTGATACCTAAAATTAACCATCACTCTTCGTGTCTCCTCCCCCACATCAGAACTAATAATACGCTCACGGTTAATCTTCCCTTAAGGACAGTAACTTATTTTCACTCTTCTCTTGAGCAACCTTGATTTTCCCCCAGGACCCCATTATTTAAGTTCACTTTTCCCCGTTCCCTGTCTGTAGGGCCCTCTCTTCTGCAGCCCTGCTCCCCGTCCTCAGAGCCTCACTCATCACTTATTCTCTCCTCTTTATCCTGAGCCACGTCCGGATGTTCACTCTGTGCTCAGGAAGGCTCCCTGCTCCTTTCAGTCGCTCTCTGCCCAGGGCTCCACCCCTGAGGCACCTGCTCGGTCCCCCTAGCCCGTGATGTGGCCCCTCTGCACCAGGCAGGAGCCCTAGGCCTGGGGGTTGAGTGTGGCTGTGCCACTGTTTGCAAAAAGCCCACTGAGGATGGCGGTTCAGGAAATGCACAGCTTTGAATGGAAAGCTCAGGCTTTCCCTCCCACCCTGCAGCCTGGCCAGTTCTTGTCCAGAAAGAGATGGTGAGAACAAAGGAAAAGCTTCCTGGTGCTCCTTTCCCCCACTCTAACCCCGGAAGCTGCAACTCTAGAAGTTGTGTTTTCAGAAGCCGCACTGTCGGCATTAGCCGGGCAGGCCCAGGGGAGGGCAGCCAGGCTGTTCACCACCTAAGGACATCTCCAGAGTCCAGCTCCCTTTTCCATTCATGGCACCCGACTTCTGTTTGGAGGCCACCCCTTTCACCCACTCTCAGGCCACATAGCTGGATGGCTGGCCCATGGCTGGCGTGAGCATGGACCCTAAGCCTGTCCTAGGAATCATTTCGGCCATAGAAATTGGAGCAGCCATGCAGTGTGGGAACTATTGGTGGTGAAAGCAAGACCACAGACGCCCCCTGGAGGTCCTGGGAACAAGCCCTGGCCTTCCTGTGACTGCTAAGTTGGTGGCATGCAAGCTGGAGGTAGAGGTGCCCATCACAGCCACACCCCCACCCCCCGCCGCCTTAGGAGCCCTTCTGGAAGGTGACCTCCATAGATAACAGTCCCTGTCAGCATCTTTTTAGCCCCTCAATTCAGCCATGGCTGAAGTCGTCGTATCATTCCTGAATTTTTGAAGTTTTTTCCTGTTATGTGTGTCTATAAACATCTCTTATTGACTCAAAGCCAGTTTGAGTTAGAGAAATGTCACCTGTACTGACACACAGACTCCAAGCCCAGTCCCCAAACCAGAACCCCAGCCTGACTTTCAGGTCCTTCTGTTATGAGCCTCTTTTTCTAGCCCAGCTGTGCCCTGCAGCCAGGGACCCATGGGAGGCACATTCTCACACACCTACCTCGGGTAAAAAAAATAACATCTGTTTTATTATCAGTAGAAAATAGCTCTGAACAACACACAGGACGAGAGGTAGAGAAGGAACCAGAGTCGGAGGCTGCAGGGCTCTGGGGGTCCCGAGGCTTGGGAGCCAGCTCCTTTCAGCTTGGAGAGGCCCGTCATCTCCTCAGGGTGGAAGGGCCTTCCCTCCACCTGGGTCACCTTTAGGATCCACTGGTGGTAGTTGGCCAGTGCCGTGTATATACCCGAGGTATTCTTCTTGCCACAGCTCCTGCCCCAGCTGATAATGCCGACCTGGTACCATTTCCCACCACGCTCCGGGGTGCAGACCAGAGGGCCCCCACTGTCACCCTGCAGGCAGAGATCACCAGGCATCAGGGAGCCCCACTCCAGATGGCCCATTTGGGGCAGGACACAGTTCATCTGTGGAGAGGGATGCCCTGGCCTCTCCTGCCCTCAGCTCCCCGAAGGCATCTCACCAAAGCCCATCAGCACTGCCCACCACATCCCGACCGCACTTTGAGGGGTGTGCAGCTGTGGGGCGAGCTCTGGAAGCTGTTGGGGATAGAGTTGAGTGGGGTGGGGGGGCGTAGGGGACAGCCACTCCAGAGAGTGTATGGCTAATAGGTTGCTCCTCCTGAAGCACAGAGAGAGACAGGGTCCAGAGAACAGGGTAGGGAGGGAAGGAGTCCTGGGGCTTGTCAGGTCAGAAGCCCTGAAAAGGGCAGGAAAGAAAATGGGGTGTGAGGGTGTGGTCAGTGGTGGGAACTGGGTCTCCTTGATGTTCTTCCCGAGGTGGTGGGGCGGACAGTTCCTGTTCGATTCTTTGGCGTGGGCATCTGCTAAGAGCAAGTGAGCTAAGCTTTTTGGGATGGGTGGCCCTTCAGGACAGGATGGCCCAGGGCTGTGACTCACACAGTTATTCCAGACACACATGGCTCCTCCTACCCATCTTGAGATGAGGCACAGGAGCTCTGGGGGATAAAGGATTCGCTAGAGGCTGTTTGTTTGTTTGTTTTCATTTTATAACGTCAGATGCTTTAGTTGTACTTAATGGGAGGGGCCAGGAGAAATGTGTCTAAAACCAGAAGTCTCAATCCTGTGGGGTTTTTTTGGGGGGAGGGTGTTTTAAATTGTCAGGATGTGAAGAAAACCTAAGGGTCATGGACATGTATTCTGCCACCTTTGGGCCCTCACAGGGCTCATCACAGGAGGGTTACTAGGGGCCCTGCACTCCTGTACACCTCACCTTTGAGTACCTTCTCCTTTGTCCCCTCCCTTCCTGCCTCTGACCCCTCTCTGAGCAACCCCTTCCCAAGGCCCTGGCTCATACCCTACCAGGGAAAATTACCAATTTCCTTGCACTCAACCGTAATGGGTAATTTTAGATAAATACCCTCCTCTTCCATGAGGCAGCCCGTTCATTGCTGTTCAAAATATTTATCATCTGCTTGTAGTTTATGCCAATGGCCAGTCCCCTGCCTGGTCAGTGAGCAAGCACCTGTCATTCGGTGGGGACGGAGTGAGCCCAGCAAGAGGGCCGCTCCTACGACAATGAGAGCATCTGTGAGCTTTAGACCCCAATCTCATCATTTGTCCTTAGAGCCAGAAGAAACAAATTCATGAATTTCCCCCCATTTTTCTAGTCATCAATAAAAATTTCTTTCTGTTTAAACCTTCGTTTTCATTTTATCTCATAAAGACAAGCAATGAGACCAGACTTCGGTTCAATGAAACTCATTTGAATCACCCAGTGTATTTTGGCTGTTTGTTTACCGGCCTGCCTGCCCAGCAGATCAGGGGGGCTTCCTTTGGAGAGGAACTAGTTCCATTCATGGGTCCCCAGGGCTAAGAATGCTCAACAAAAGCTGCTAAATTAATGAATTTAAATGGCTCCTTGTATATATCTCAAATCCTCCTTAGCCTCTTTGCTTTTTTAAGAATTCCCAGAAGCCTTATTTACCTAGCATACCCAAAGGAGGTCAGACATTTTTTGAGTTGAGGTGAAGCACGCCAGTTCCCGGGTGTGTGCTGATGGCTCCAAGGGAGAGTACCTGGGACTCAGTCATCCATGTCCCATTCCCACCCCCGGTGCCCACACTGTCCCAGCCTCTTAATTGTCTATTCGGAGCAGAGAGAGAACCGTGTTTTGGCGCCCCCAGGTGGTGGGGCCTGTCAGGTGAGGGAGGTCCCTGAGTTACCTGGCAGGCATCGTATCTCTCATTCTTGTACCCAGCACAGAGCATATTTTTGGTAAGTTTTGAAAAGTCCTTTAGACACATCTCCCAGTCCGTGATGATCATCGGCACTTTCAGCAGCTCCATGGTCTTGGAGTTTGTGTTACCTGGCCCAGAGGGAAAGCACATTAGCAAAGCCACCCGGCAGCCAAGGACTGTGCTCTGAACTGTCCTGCCCAGCCTGTGTCCCCCGCCTCCATCCTCCTCCTGACCTCTCATTTCCCTCACATAACCCCACCCCAAGAATTTGCAGACTACTCCCCTCCTCCTGTAATGATTCCTTTCACTCAGAACCACACTCCTACTTCCCAGACCTTCAGGCCACCCAGCCTGACCAGCATGACTTCTGGGAACTGCCTGCGACCAGACCATTCCCTGGCACAACCTGCCCCACCCACACAGGTGTCTGCTGCCACTTTCCATCCAGGGACACTTCCCTCACATGGGGCCATGGGGAGTGGGTTTGTAACCCCAGTGAGAAAACCTTGGTCCTCCAGCAAAGAGGAGTTTGTCCAAGAGCCTTTAGAGGGGACTGGGGGGAATCTGCAGAGGTGAACGCTCAATTTCCACCCGACAGAGGTTTCCATTCCCGTTATGGAGGAAGTTTAGCCTCCCCCTTTGGGCCTATCTTCCCAGGAGTGCCCAGGGCCCAGAGCCAACGTCCCCTGCTTCCCCTTAAGAGGCTCAGCTCCAGAAACGCCTATGGTCCTGGAGGCCCTGAACTGCTGCAAACCCCCTCTACGGATTGGAGTCTTGCTCAGGCTGGTGGCAAGGCTGTGCTGGCCCCGTCACTCCCCTGCCTGTTTGCTTTAGGTTTTGTTGGGTTTTCTTTGGGGACAGGCTGGTGGGGCTTTCAAGATACCCTTCTGTCCTGGCTTGCTTCTATTTTGGTCAAGGGACAGCATAACAATAAGTGACAACAGATTCATGTGTAAGAATAGTTGGGCAACACTCCAGGACCATCAAAGCCTCATTCAGAGCAGGTATCTGAGCTGCCTGCCTGGGGGGGACCAAGTGGAAACATCAATTTGTGAATCGAGGAAATGCTGGAAGTTAAGGGTAGAAGGGTTAATGGAGACTTTATGTGTGATTAAACACACGAACACAACTGCTCTGAGCTGGTGAGGTGACACCAACCGGTGACTGTCTCAGACCTGGCATCTTAGCTTGCAGCTTCGATGCTCAGAAGCAGCCCAGATGGGGCCTGCATGGGGCTCATTATGTGGGGATTTGTTCCACACATGTCCTGGTCTCGTTGCCCTTGCCCGTCCCTCTCTCCTGTCACCCTCCTCTCCTCTCCCTCAGATTCAGCAGCTCTGGCCCCAGCAGCTCTCATACCAGGCTCGGTCTGGCCCCATCCTGCCACCCAGCACTCATGCCACTTGGAGGGGCTGTGCTCCGTGGGCAGGCAGATGGGCACCTTCAGGTCACTGAACGTGATAGGCGTGACCAGCAGTAGCAAGGCAATGTCGTTGTCCATGTTGGTTTTCTTAAAGTCCTTGTTAATAATTATGCTGGCCACTGCCTTTGTTTCCACGTGTGAGCTGGTTAAGTCGTTGGTCCCCACCACGACGTTCAGTTCCTCGGGTCTGGTGGCACAGAACCGGAGAGGGGGAAGGGGAAGGGAAGCCATCAGTGTGCACAGAATCGGTTGTACCTGGGACCCCTAGGCCCCACACAGCTCTGGGCCCCTTCAGGTCATCCTGGGGCTATTGCTCTGAGCGTGTGAGAGTTTGGAAAAGGTAGAGCCAGAATGGCCTGTGAAAACACAGCTACGTCTCCTCCATCAGGGGTCCCAATAAAGGGAACACAGCCAGGCACCAGGGCTCAGGCCTATAATCCTGAAACTTTGGAAAGCTGAGTTGACAAGATCCCTTAAGGCCAGGGGTTCAAGATCAGAGGAGTGAGATGCTCCTGCCTAACTCTCCCTTGGGAGCTCACTGAAAGCCCACAGAAGGCTGCTTGGCACAGATCAGATTCCCCTCCAGATAGGTATTATTTCCACTATTCTATATCAATTGGAGACCCAGGAACAGAACTGAGTTTAGACCTGCCAGTGACTAAGCAGAAAAGATCTTCTGTAACAAGCCAACATCCAGGAGCCCGTCTCCCCCAGACAGGAATGGCCAAGCACTTTCCAACCCCTAAGTGACCCCTGACAACAGGTGCCACAAAGTTCCCTGGTGAGGCCATGACTAAACTTTCCCCAGGGTTTGGATAACCCTTTAAAGTCAGCCTTTCTGTGTATCATCAAGCCTTCTTGAGCTGGTGTAGCAGAAAGCATGAGTGGTGGACCCAGAATTTAAATCCTGCCTCTATCTACTAGGGGTGCACCCTGGGTGAGTTACCTCACTGTACTGGACCTCAGTTTCCTTATCCATACATTGGGGTTATTCATTCTCTGCCTCGGAGGGGCATTATACAATTAAATGAGTCAATACAGGTGACGTTTCTTAGCAGGGAGGCTGGCACATAGTTATCAGTAAATGCTGAATACCACCAATGTGCTGTGGCCCCCAGAAAACTTTACAGGGAGGAAAGAGGGCTCAGTGGCCTGGGAAAGCAGGTTTCCAGAACTGGAAGGACCTAAATCCAGGACAGGCGTATGGACCAAGCCATTTGGCTCCATTAAGCCACAGAAATTTCTGGAGAGGACCGAGTGTAGCCTCAGGGAAGCCATGTCATTGGCCCTGGCAGGGACCAGGGGAGGTGGGGGGGAGGGCACAGCCTAGGGCTAGCGGGGGGGTAGGGGGGCTCATCTGTAAGAGATCAGGCATGGCTGAGGGGAGGGTGCCCGGGGGTACCGTGGTGCAGTAGGGAGGGGCTCCTACTACTTACGAGATGAAATCCTGGGACAAGCAGTGCGCGGCGGTGAGGATCCACCACTGGTTGAGAATTGCGCCACCACAGAAGGGTTCATTTCTTGCCTGAATGCTCACCTGCCACGGAAACTCACCCACCTCGGCCTCCAGCCCATCTATGATGCGGGAATACTGAACTTTTTCCTCGAAAGCAGGTCTCTCACCGCACACTACTGGAATGACAGACAGCAGAAGGGAAAAGACGCCAGATTTAGTCAGCACCCGGCACAGGCAGGTGCTGGGCCGGCAGGAGGCTGGTTGGCCGGTGTCCTCATTCTTATTCCAGAGATGAGGACCCAGAGTTTGCCCACTGAGGCACCTCCAGTGACACGAGGGACAGGGCAGAGCCCAGGATGTAGGTCAGCAGCATGGGCTCTGACTCTGTCCAGCATTGCAATCTCAGGACAGACCGTCACCCCGACTGGTCCTTTCTGCTCTCGTGCAGGAGAAACCGGAGGGAAATACTGTCCGAAGCCAACCCTGGCGTGGCAGGCAGCATAAAGGCCTCTGGAGACGTCCAGGTTCTAATGGGCCACGCCCCCCCCCCAGAACCTGCAAATATTTCACCCTAAAAGGAAAAAGGGACTTTGGAGATGGAATGAGGCTGCAGTCATCTGGCCTCATAATGGGGAGATCGTCCTGGACGTTCCGAGAGGGCCCAGAGTGACCACCACCGGGGTCTTAAAAGTGGTACAGGGAAAAATCACTGGGGGAAGATGTGACTACAGAGAAGAATCAAGATGCCAGCTTTAAAGACGGAGGCAGGGGCCCAGAGAAGCTTCCAGAAGCTGCAAAGAAGAGGCAAACGAGCCTCCTCCAGACCATCAGAGGACGTGCAGACTGAAGCACCCCTGTATTGGATTCCACCCCCCAGAACCAGCAGATGAGAAATCTGTGTTGTTCATGCCGCTAAGTCTGTGGTAGTTTGTCACAGCAGCCAACACATAGAGGAACCTACGGGGCACAGAGAGCAGGAAGCCCTGGCTGTCCTGGGCTGGTCCATGCAAAGCAGCTCCTGCACGGGAGGCCAAGGGCAGAGGTCAGCGCCCCCTTGATGGGGAGAGAAGTTCACCCTCGGGAAGTGGAGATGCTCTGTTAATACTTTCTGCCTTGATGTCCATCTTGTGTTCCAGAACAAGGAGAGAGCTTGACTTCAAAGTGCCCAACACCCCCTTCTTGTCTCTTTCTTGACACCAGTTTTCCAAATGACAGCTCAGGAAAGGACTTGAGGGTTTTATACTGTGGATCGGCACCACCGTGTCCGAGTCTGAATCCGGCTGTCACTTAACGGCTAAATGATGTGGGGGCAGCTATCTACCCTTGCTATCCACCGTTTCTCCATTCCAAAAGTGGGCGAAGCTAACACCAACCCTGAAAGACTGATGTCGGGATGAGACAAGATGATGGATGCAGAAGGAGGCACCTGCCACGGTGCTGGGACTTCGCAGAGTCCCCACCAGCTAGGGCTCATTTTCCTTTTTTTCTTTTTTGGCCCCAAGAGCCACCCACAACATCATCGCAGGATCAGAGGGACTTTTAGAGCCTCACGAAGGCTGAAAGGGGCTTGGCCCATCACGAATGGACACCAGGGGGCAAGTTCGTCCCTGTACACACAGTGTGGTGACCCCAGGCCTGATTGACCGACACCAAGTGGATCTGTTGTGCTCTAGGCAAGAGGCAGTGTGCAGGAGGGCCACCCGGTACAGCAGTGGCCTGGTGTGAGTCACACACACAGAGCCCCCACCCTCCCTACAGTGAGACTTTGGGCAAATGCTCCATCTCTGAGAGGGTCGGAGCTCCTCAGCCACATGCAGGCACAGAGCAGAAACCCCCCATGGCGGTGTGGTGTTAAACATGGGAGACTGCTGACCATGAATGAGCTTCCAGCCTCGGCTGTCTCCTTGGAGAGAGGTATAACCCACAAGTGGGGAACTGACGGCAAGAACAGAAGCAAATTTGAACTAAGCTAAGCATCAGGCACATCTGATACGTGTCTGTGTTCCCAGCCACGTACTGCTGCAAACCTCTCACACTTTGAGTCAGAGGAGGGACACTCAGCTCATTCTGGGCTCCTGTTTCTGGATGGTCTATTACTCCCTTAGAGAGGGAAGTCTCCGGTTTCAAAACCAAAACGCAAGGTCAGACAGGTCCAATTTAGGGCTGGCAAAGACAGGAAAAGAACAAAAAGGGTTTAGAGGAATGGATGCTGGGACACATGAAGTGATGGCCTGCGCCCTGAGAGCTGAGCCCGCTGCCCAGCTCCCCTCTACCCTGCGCTCACCACTGGTGGTGGTCCTGCCTGGCCGGGTCTGGGAGAGCCGCTCTGGCCACTGGGAGGGGAGGCCACGTACCGAGGTGTACTCTGGAAGCTCGGGATGTAAGCAGTAACAGTGACAGCAGGAACATGGCCCGGGGCTGTGCTGTAGGCCTAGGAGGTGACAGAGGCCGGGGCTGAGGGGAATGAGACCGACAGGGCTGGACCCGGCTGGTGATGTCACAATGGGCTGAGAACCCGACTGAGTTCATGCTGACTTCTTTCCTGCCGTTTGGTGTCTTCTAAGAGGGCTGCCTAAAGGGACCTTGTCCTTAAAGCTTTCTTATGCCACCAGCCACCTTCCCCAAGCCCTGGTGGGCCCCTCACTTTTACTCTGGTTCACACTTACACCTTTCCTGAGGCTGCCGGGCCTCCTCTTACACGAGGCCCCATGAGTCATGGCTTCTCTGCCACTGCAGAGCCAAGGCTGGTGGGAGGAGCCTCCAGCCTGAACCCTGGAGACTGGAGAGGACCCCAGTGGGGGCCGAGGCCTCTCCCTGCACCAGCACCCTGTGGGGAGAGCTCCCCAGACTCTGACTTGGGGCCACAGATGTGGATCTCACATGCCAGGTTCAGAGGTCCTGACCTCCCCTCTCGCCCAGCCCAGGGGGTGGCAATTCCTGGATTTATTCCATGTGGCCTCCAAATCTCCTGCTGGGCCCCTGCCTATTCTTCGAGGTGGAAAGGTCAGACTCAGACAGCCATGCCCAGCCCATGGCCTCTCCTGAGCTCAGTGACCCAGTCATGGGATCTGGACTTTGTATGCACATTTTTAAATTTTACACTGCTTTGTGTCCCGCACTGGGTGGACTTACTGAGGCATCCTGGGCACTGTCCTCCTGGCCACTGGCCACCATTTCATTGGTGGACGTGAATTATGTGCTCATATCTGTTCCCCAAGTGACAGCTGGTACATCTGCCTGTCTTATACCCCCTATTTTCTTATCTGAAAAAGAATACATGGTTCAGTGGGTAGAATGAGGTCACGTCACTGGGGCAGTGACCCCTCTTCACCACACAGAGACGTGGCTCTGGCCACTTTCTTGAGCAGCAATTCCAAAGCATTTTCTCTGCTCCTCCCCCGAGGGTGGCTCTCTGGTGTGGCTCCTCACCCCAGGTGTCCACCTGAGGGCTGGGCAAGGCCTGTGGAGTGGCCATGGGGTGGTGCAATCCCCACCTGGCCTGAATAATACCTCACCTGCTCCCCAAACACAAGATGTTCTGGCCTGAAGGGTCCAAACTTTCCTGGTGAAGGGTCCGAAACACACCCTTTCACCTGACCCTGGTCTCATCCCTTAGTCTCAGTCCTTGGCCCTTGGGTGGCAGTGCTGAGAACTCCCTGGATTTCCGCTGTTCCTCCTTCAGGCTCAGGTCTCCTTGCCCTGGACCCGCCACCCACCCACCAGCTGAAAGCTGAAGGCTTTCTCCTTTGCTCAGTGTCTGTTGGCCCCAGGGGTATGGAGAGAGGGAAGGAGGGTCCCTGGCTCCAGGGCTGATTAGGGGATAGAGGATGGTGACTAATCTCACAGACGGGGAGACAGGGAGGATGATGACATCCACTGTAAACTGCTGCTTGAAATCCCCGCTCACCTCTAGAAAGATCCATTTCCTTTAGAAGACCACCCTGCCGGGTCGATATCCTTCCCATGAACTTGACCTAGGTCATGCTCCTTGTGAACTGTTCACTCACTGTCTGGCACTGCTTTGCAGATCCTCACAATGACATGGACTGGTCCATACACCGAAGTGTGGAGGGGGGTGAGGACGGACACTCTGCTGCACCCTCATACCCTCAGAGGGAGCCATCCCCATAGATGAGCATGGGAAAGGCTCCCCCTTCAACTGGGCAATCCTGGTGTGGGGAGAGCAATTGCAGTGCTCCAGGAGGAAGCTGCAGAAATTCAGAGGAAAGAAGACACTGATGGTGTGGGTTGCTCAGGGCCTATCACTTGGTTCAGGAGGCCTCCAGGGAGGCATTGCCTGAGGTACTTTAGTAAAGGCTTGGCCAGTGATTTTCTGATAGTCTTAGTCTGTTTGTGCTGCTCTAATAGAATAGAGCTGGGTGATTGATAAAGAACAGAAATTTATTCACTCACAATTCTGGAGGCTGGGAAGTCCAAGGTCAAGGCTTGGGCAGGTTCAATCTCTTTCCAAGATGACGCCTCACTGCTGCAGCCTCCAGAGAAGCGGAAAACAGGAATATTGTGTCCCCACATGGCAGAACAGAGAGAGTGAGTGAGTGAACCCACTCCCACAAGCCCTTTCTATAGCAGCATTAATGTACTCATGGAAGTAAAGCCCTCATGACTTGAACACCCCTCAAAAGGCCCCACCTCCCAACACCATTGCATTAGGCATTGAGTTTCCAACACATGAATTTTGGAAGGGACACATTCAAACCAAAGCACTGACTTTGGCATACAGCCTGGGGAACTTGTTTAGTGCAGATTAGGGTTGCCAGATTTTGCAAATAAAAATACAGGATGCCCTGTTAAATTGGAATTTCAGATAAACAAATATTTTTAGTTTAAGTATACTCCATGCAGTGCCTGGAATATACTTATAATAAAAAAAAAACTGTGAATTTGAAATTCAAGCATAACTCGTATCCTATATTTTATCCTGGCACCAATTTCCAGGTTTAGGTCCTTAGAATCTGGTCCAGTGGATTGGGGTGGGCTGGCAGGGGAGAAGGGGAGTGGCTCTAAGCACTTTTCACAGCTCAGCTTCCTCCAGAAGACCATAGTGTAGATCATCTCCAGGCCACTTTGATATCAACAGTCCAGCCTGGTGCAGAGAGCTTTGCCGAGGTCACTGGGGCATGACTCACTCCTGGGAAATCTGGAGGGTGTATGGTCCTAGAAGGGACATGTTTGGTGGGGACCGTGGGGACCACCCTGAACCCCCAGAGTTTGTCCCTGGATCCTGTGTAGGCTACATAAGGACAAAGACGCCCGGGGTTGTCTTAGGACTGATCCCATGGGAGAAGCCAAGGAGACCCCAAAAGAAAGAAGCTGGGAATGTACCCCCAGGTAGTCAGGGGCTGAGGAAGAGCAGGAAGTGACCTGGGCAGACGGATGGCCCTGGCTGCTCTGGAGACTGCAGGGGAAAGGGCCCGGCAGGAAACCATTAAAATACCACCCTCAGGGGCAGCCGTAACTATCCGCCAGGCCCAGAGAACCATAAGCCAACACGATGTGGAGGCTCACCTTGACCTGAGGCCTCCCCTGGACTCCCCATGGCAGGGAAGGGTGACCAGAGCCGGAGAGGAGCAGAGGCCTGGTCAGCCTGTGCCCCTAACTGGACCCGGCAGGGACAGGGACAGAGCAGACTCAGGTGCAGCATCCAGGGCATGCAAGGACTTGGACACGCTGCCACCACACAGACTGTCCCTGGGTTTGGACCGCAAGGGGGCTGTAAGACGATTGCCTCAGAAGAATCAGAAAATCCCTGAGTGCAGCTCGAGCTTTATCGTAAGGACAGAACTAATCATTCCCTCTGACGGGTGGCAAGCAATAACGCTGTCTCAGTCACAGTCTGAGTGTTGCTCATGCTCCAACCGCAGTCAGGTGGTTGCATTCCTCAGGCCTCAGCCACAGGGGTTTCTTTTGTTGCTACTGGGCAACCTCTGCCTGAAGCTCCATGCATCTCCCTTCCGGTGGTCTGCTGAGAGCCACCTGCTTCTGAGAGGTGGGCATCTGGGACGGGTGCCGTGCTCCACCCACCCCAGCCCGGCACTCATGACAGATGTGGCCAGTGGATCATAACTGAGCCAGGAGTTGGCCCCAGAATCTCTTCTAACCCAGC